TACTAAGTTTTGCACAAATGTAAAGAGATGAAGATTTGGATAGAATATGGTTGTAATTAAGCAAAAGTAGAATTAAGCAAAATGGAATGAGTGTTGTCAATTTAATTAAGCAAAAGTAGAACTAAAAATTACAAAGCCTAGTACTACAGCAAGTACTCAATGAACAGCACCTCCTGCTGGGAGCCGCATACAAATCATTAATGATGAAATACAGCACAAAAAGACATTTTGACATTATAAGAACTGCGCACAAGGTTGTCTGATAACATATTGTAGTTATTACCATCTTCTTTTTCTAATTTCTTGTTTTATTCATCAGCTGCTATGAACCAATCCAACCCATGAATTTCTAACTAAACATATTATGTTGATGGCACACCAATCCATTTCAGTTCTTGCAAAGGATTATGTGACAAAATATATATATATACACACACACATTGGAAAGGTATAAAAAGGTCGATTGCATGCGGACAGAAAGATCAACAAGAATTTTCTTTTACCTTTTTCAGCTCCTCAAAGTTTGCTATTGTAGACCGCTACAAGTTTCCTTTATGCCTGGTGTGTCCGAAGAAGCGACTGTGTGAAAAACAAATACAAGTAGGGGAGGTAGCATAGAGCATCTATCTGTACAAGCATAAAAGGACAAGCATTTGAGTAGTCAGTTCTGACATTTTAAATCGAGCTGTTTCTATATCTGAGTAACAAAAAATTGTGCTTCATCTAATTCAATAAGTTCAAACATTGCAATTTGAGTTGTTTGATATATCTATGTATCCAATAAAGTAGAGGACCAGCATGCATTGAGTTGCAACTACTAATTAGAGAACAATCAAAGTCATTTTGAACTCTGAATAACGAGTACTGGCTATTAGCCATGCTTGCTTCATGAATAGTCGGACAACCGCCCCCAGCCTCTGCATGAGAGGGTGCTTATTGGCATACTACATTCAAGTAACACACAAATATGATAAATGATAATAACAACTTAAACCTATCTTATTTTATTACCTCAAAGTTTTAGAACCAATATAATCCTATTCACTTCGCTGAAAAGACAAGCTGAAAAATATTGTTCGCTGATTTATTGTGAGAGAAAAACATTGTTCCTTCACTGAAAAAGTACGGCTGATAAAACAAGCGGACAAGATAAAAGCATGAACTCTCCTATCTGTAGTTGATGGAAGAAGCTATTTTCATATATATGAAAGAGGTTAGCCAATTTTAATTTTAAGACTGCACACAAACTTAAGGAAATAATCGTCTAAAATAAGATTAAAATTTTGAAACTAAACTTTTACTTCAAGGTAAAAGAAAAAATTACTAGCTGAAGCAACACTATGACCCAAGAGTAAAGCAAGTTCATAGCATACAGCGATGATGACTCACGAGAAGGGTCATCTGACCAAATCCACCAGACAATTGATTTGATTCATCTGTATTCCTACGAATTAAACGATCTGTGTTCAAATCAAGGATCAGGGGAAAGCTTGATGCCCTGTCCAAATGGGTTATGCTGCCACTGTGACCTGTCCTGATGAGAAGTTCCTTGGCTCAGACAGCCTTTTCAAGTTACTGGCTGCATAAAACTGTCAGCGCATTAATATGTCATATGAAATAATTTGATAAACGATGGTGAGGCCAAAATGATAGTACTTAAGCAAAGACCAAATGAAAAATAATTTTGTTCCATAGAACAAAAGATTAAACTCACATAAATTTGACGCTTACAACATCGACGTATACAAATAGAAAATAAAAATTGGTGATATGGTCCAGTACTGGAATATGCATCAACCACGATAAATAACAATGCTGTTAAGAGCAACAACATGTAGAGAATCTTTTTAAATTGAAATAATCTAGAACAATGGAAGGAGATTGGAGCAAACCTACGAATCTGAGATCTGCAGCCTGCAGACCATCCTCAACCACACCGAACTAGAGATCGGTGGCAAACCTGAGAAGCAGAGGGTCTACGCGAGCTAGTGGCAGTGCAGAGGAGTCCAAGGCCGACCTGGCACGAAGTTCGTGGGGAGGAGGCGTGGGGGGAGCCCAAGTCGCCGGCCGGGGAGGCGAGCTGGGGTCGCCTCTCGAACGGAGGAGTCTGGGGGCTTGCTGGGCGCTGTGGTTGAGTGGAGGAGGACGGGAGGAGCTCGGGGTGCCTGCCAAGCGGAGGCCGCAGTGGGGGCGACCGGTGGCCAAGCAACGGGTAGTGGCAGGCACGAGGCTCGATCCGCGCGTGCTTAGTACGCCGGCGGCGGGGCGCCTTCCGTGCAGACGTGGTGGGGGCGGCCCGCGGTCGGGCGACGGGCGGCGGGCAGGCGTGAGGCTCCGCGAGTGCGCAGGCGGTGGCTGAGCAGGCGGCGACCAACCCGCGGCACTCAAGGGGAGGTGGTTGCTGGAGACAATGCAGATGGTGGATGACGGACTGGGCGAGCCATCGCCAGGAGCGGGAGAGCGTGGGGCGAGAAAGTGAATCGGTTGGAGGTATTTTAGGGTTATTATAAGGCGGTGGTATGACATGGACCTGACACGCGGGAATCGTAATTTTGGGCTCATTTGGCGCGGGTTCTCGGTGCCAGTGGGATGTATTTCGATTGGAATTTTGTAATCCCGTACAATTTTTTATTGTGGATGTTGGGAATTATTTTTTTCCTTCTTCAAGCAACTAGTTAAGTAACCCTATGAACTAACACGTAAAATATTTTATTTTATACGTCCAAATACATTTTTACATGTAAAATATTTTAGCAATTTGTGTTCGGTGTACTATAAAATTTATTTTTAAAAAAAATTGTTCGAGCGAACTTGGATGTAGAAATAAACAATATCAAAGTTGTAGATCTCAATCAAAACTATAGCTTTGTAGTTGACGATTGTTTCATTTGAAATCATTTATGGTCCTAAAATTCTGTTTGGAGTTTAAATATTTTGAAATTCAATCTTTTAAATTGTTCGAACGAACTCCGATAAAGAAATTATCAAAACCAAAGTTGTAGATCGCGATGACATGCTTTTATTTGGGCCATCTTCTGGTGCTTGACGTGCCCGCGCGTTGTGGTTTTGGGCCACCGTGCCTGGCTCGTTGAATTTTTTAAGTTTGGGTGTTTGAATTTTCTGTGAGTTTGCTCCACACTGACACATATAAAAATAATACAGACCATATAATCTACGTCTTTTAGGCATTGCCTTTTTAGATTTTTGCTGCTTTTTCGTGAGTTTTCGGCGGGCCAGTGCTTTTGCATATACACAATTTGTTTTTCGAATTACGGGGTACATAGTTCATGTGAGCCCAAATATATTTTTATGTAAGATTTTCAATTTTATTAGGGGTACACATAGTTTAATTTACAATTTATTTCAATTGACACGTAAAAATTCATTGAAATTATAGAAAATAGTGGACTATTTCCAAAATTTCCGAAACCTCTTATTTCCGTAACTTGTGATAAACATAAGGTTTTGTCAAAATTTGAGGTACATATGAGTTCAAGTTTCATGTGAGATGTGCAAACTTCAAAGTATGACTTGAGTTACAGCGACTTATGTTTGAGGTGTATTTATTTTGTGAATGATTTATAGGCTCCTTTTATTAAAGTTATTTGCAATTTTTATGGCAAGCATATACACCCAAAATATGATTCCATGTAAATTTTTAGATTTCTTATACCAGTATTACAACTCCTAAAAAAGTATTGGAAGGAATAAAGAATGCCATCTCCAAGAGTTTGTAATAATCCACTCCTAAAATAGAGAAAATAATTTCAAGAATCATATACTATTTCTAAATTATCCTAACCACTTTTATATATTCTTTCTCTCTTGTACATTTGCATCAGGAACCCTTTCCTACTCTTTATTCTTTCTACGCCCTTCCACCTTTAGATTGCCCGACAAACAAGCGCGGGGAGAGAAGATACGCGTGACTCGGAAGCGCGTAAGTTTACGCGAAACAGGGTGACTTTTTCTAAGTTCTAAAAGATTATGAGAATTGATTAGGAGTTGTTGGAGAGGGGTTTTTTCTCGTTTTGCTAAAAACCAAGGATTAGAAAGGGATTTAGGAAACTTTTGGAGATGCTCTTAGGTATTATTAAATTTTGTGGTAATCCAAAGATAAAAAGGTTGAATTATCTATGTACATCAATTGATTTCTTTCATCTATCTCCACCACAAACGATTGAATGGATCATATAAACCCAATATATTTTTTATGTGATTTATTCAATGTAACTAGGGAAACGCACACTTCGATTTAGAATTTGTTTCATTTGGCATGGAGAAATTCATTCAAACTATAGAAAATAGTGAACTATTTCCCAAATTTTTGAAACCTTGAAAGAATATGTGAATGGCTAGACGGGAGGTGAATAGTGCAACCACTACGATGTGGGCGCTGAAGTGAAGCCGGTGGATCACCAAGAACCTTTTCATGATTCAATTAAAGTTACTCTTCGTGAGCCTCCCGTGGGATGAGCACAAGAGCCCCTCACAACCCTTCGATCAAAGTCACCACACAACCACTAGAGTTTGTCTCTTGCTTCGTCACCATGTCACTAGGTGGCTCTTAGTCCTCCATGTCATAGGTGGCTCTCAGTCTCTTGCTTCATGGGCAGGGAATGTAACTTAAACATTTATGTGACACATGTATCTCGGTCCTAGTAATAATTTTAAGTATCATGTATGTTTAAGTTAACCTTTCTAGTTTAAGTGTCATATATGAAGTCAATATAATACATAGGTTCAAGCATCGTTTATGTTTAGGTGGGCTTAACAAATATCATGTATATTTTTAAGTGAATTTACAAGTTCAAGTGTCATATATATGTACGTGAATTTGCCAAAATAGATTTGACTTATAAGACATATAATATGCTTAAGTGATATATAAATGCATTTAACTATTTAAGTGTTATACATGTATCTGAATTTACCAAAATAGATAAGCACTTAATATTATAAATTCTTAGATAAAGCATGTATAAAATTAGATTAATTTCATGAAAAATGTTGTGTCTACTAGTGACGTGCGAAGCGCGAGGATTTGGCCTCTCGCGAGCGCGGCAACATTTGGCGGCAAAAATCTGGCCGTGGGAAAAAAAGGGCGCGTGCGGGATGGGAGCACCAGCGCGAAGCAAAGCCAAATCGCAGCAAGAATACAAGGGTCGGTCCTCCATCGCGCCGCCGGCTCGTTGCCATTGCTCTCGATCGCGCCGCAGCTGCAGCAATCGCGAGGGGAATCAACCCTGTTCAACACCCCGCGAGGCGACGACGAGCGCTCGTGCTCCGAGGCGCTCTCGCCGGTAAGTGTTAGCATTGTACGGGGCCGGCGATTCGAGTCAACGAGCGGGCGGATCCGGTACAGGCGCGCGCTCGGCGGCGGCCCTTTTCCTCGGTAGCAGCGGATCCGGCCTGGCGGCGCCTCTTTCCCATTGGCGACGGCAACGGCCCGGCGTCAGCATCGGCTTGTTCCATGGCTGCGGGCTAGAAGGGGGCCACGGTGCACATGTGAGAGTGGTCGTGCTTGAGCTTGTGGTCTCTTATTGCAGGTCTGCGGGCTAGAAGGGGGCATCGCCGTGTCCTGCGGCGGGACCAATGGCATCAGTGGCGCCGCCCCCGTGTCTTGGCCGTTGGTGCGGTACCTGCAGTTCCAGTGGCAGGTGAGCGCCTCTCCCCTTTCTTGGCCCTTTGTTTTCTCCGTGCGTGTATGGATTTGTTTCGTAGCAGTTAACTTCCTCGTGGTGAAGGATTTCTTTATTATTTTATTATGAGCGTTTAGTGACTCGAACACCCAGCTGTGGCCTATGGGATGGGATTAATGCTGAATCGTATGACTTAAGTTGCCTCCTACATGGTCCATTGACAAAACTAATTGTCGCTGAGTGTGATTTAACTAAGGAAGCTGCAAGAGTTTTAGAAAAAAGTAGAAAAATAACCTCACACATTTTATCTTGGACGTTTGTTGAATTGCAGACCATGACAACTATTATTAGCATTTAGATTTATATTTAAAAAAGATACAAGAAATTGCCAACACGTGTCCAAAATATTAATTCTTTAACTACAAGAAATTGCCAAAGATTGGACCGACAGGTCTGAGGAGCAATTTAAGAACAAGGTTATTATGCAATGTGCAAATCTACAGTCAACTAGTTTTTCACTGTGTGTGTCTTATCTTACTGAACATTAACCACTCCTGTTTCAGGTATCTGATCTGTCCAGAGTGAACCATAAGAACCTGATGAACTTGCTTGGTTACTGCATCTAATACTTCATACTCTGCTTATGCTTATTGAACAGTATGAAAATGCCTATTACATGTGTTGCCTGTAAATGAATTTAGATCAGTAACACTTAGCTAAGAATTTCAGTTTCTCATACCAATGTCGATGATATTGAGTTGGAGCTGTCCAGTTTCTGCAAAATAAAGCCACATTATCATCTCAATGTATTTGCTTTGTACTGAGGTTTGCTCTGATATCTGTTCTCTGTTTCTGTACTTCTAGGATCAGAGATAGTGCTTCTGATGCTTCTGTTAACAGAAGGTTTGCTCTATAGCCTTTTCTTTGTGTTGTAGTTCCCTTCTTAATCTTTTGCTTTTTGTTTGTGCTGTAGTTTGAGATGAGGGAAAATTGTTTAGCTTATTTGTGCTGTAGTCAGAAAAACATTTAACATGTAAGGTGAAATTACAGCTTGTGTAGCTCTGGTTTGGATAATAAATTCGTGTATTAAATGGCCTTTCTTTTGAAACATGTATTAAATTGGTACATCATTCTCATGTTGTGTATTAAACTCGTGTATTAAGTGGCCTTTCCTTTGGAACATGTCTAAATTCATGTATTACAGATTGTGTAGTCAGAAAAATGTAATATTTTGTTTGTATATATGGAGGTTGATTATTAGTACATCATTCTGACCTATATTGCTTAAATTTGTATGCCCAGCTCTACATCGACCTGATAGATTTGTTAGCTTTAAATGACTTGATAGATCTTGTGCTTTATGTTTTTTGGCAGTACTAGTGGGTTTGTACTAATTATCTGCCAACATGTTTCCTTAAGTTCTGACAGTGGTTTCAGCTTTGGATGTTTTTTCCTTTGTTATACCTGGTGATTTCTAGATCAAGGCATAACTTCTGCATTCTTGACATTGAAATCCTATGACCAGGTCTAATTACTTTGTGTATCTTTGGTTCTACACCGCTCCACATCGGCTTTTTCATATTTGCTGCCATTGCTCCTCCAATTGTATTATGCCGAAAATCATTAATGTAAGATTCCTTACAGATTGAATAAAGAATTTTCATCAACTATCATACTTCTTAAGTTCTTACAGGCTAAAATTGTTATGTTTGTTGTTTCTTTGGTTGTAGGTGCTGGTCGTGAGGAATGATCTAAAGATTAGTAAGGGGAAGATTGCTGCACAACTGCAGGTGAGACCTTTGCTTCACTAAGCCATGTTTTAAGATTAGTATATATTGGGAGATGTCTGTGATAAACTTTTTTCACATAGTGGTATACCAGGTATTAAGTAATTTTAAAGTGCACATATAATATATCACTGTAGCATTTCACCCGGGAGTATACCAGGTATCGTTATTTATATTTTATCCATAGGGAGGAGCTATGGGGTTGGCATAGAGATATTGTCAAATATGTATACTTATGACAAGATCATTAACTCTCATGCTATAGCAGGGATAAGTCAAATGATAAATAAATGTTAAGTGTAAGGCATTGATAGTAATCTAGAGATAGAAATAGATACTCATAAATGTAGTATGGCTAGGCAGGAGATTAGTTAAGAGCAAAAGATTCCTAAGTCATTCCTTATTTACTAAGTCTTTTGTATACCCAAGTATATACACTCTCATCTATAGTATAAATTAACTTTGGATCTATGCATAAGGAACATTACTAAGGAAGATCAAGAATGGAGCTTGACTAAGTCTTTTGTACCATGTTTCAAGATTAGTATATACTAGGAGATGTTTGTGATAAACTTTGTTGGCGGATGATGCATCATCTAGTGGGCCTACATTCAGATCCCTATCATCATTCAAAAATATGCCAGCGTTACCTTTCTCTTTGACAAAGTTCTCATCAAACCCTTTAGTTAGCAAGTCCATTTGAACCTCGGATTTTCTTTTGTACACGACTCCACAACACCTTGAACATGGACATGGTGCCGTTTCTGATGCATAGGTGCCTTCGAAAATAGTATCAATAAATTTGTCTGCACTGCATGCCACTCAACTGATGACCGAGGCAACTTGACATCCAACTCCGATCATCATCATGTGCCATTAATTATATCTTGAAATATCACAATGATTTCTGTAGCACGTTAAATTGAAGGGATCATGACATTATTATAAACTTTATTTATCGAGAGATAAAGAAAATTAAAAATCATCAATTTTTTGAGCCAAGCTTAAAAAGGGCTCTTTACTTTAACTATAATTTAATAAACTTTAATGCATCCAAAGAGCATTTTTATCAAACTTTATATACTAGTATATCTAGAGCAATATTTAGAAGCTTAGCATCGTCCATTGTGACAATGACTACCCCGTGTTTTTGTTTGTTTTCTCCATCCTTTCTCTCGAACAGTAGTTAATGGAAACAAATGATTATCTCCTTAAAATAAATGTGATGAACCGAAACTTAGATTGAGTATTACACATTAAGTCACAATAACTAATCAACAACTTTGCTAGACCAAGCCAAAAACAAAACAGCTAGACCTCGGCATAAATAGAGTACCATTGGCTAAGAATTGAATGTTTTTACCTTTGAACCGGACAAATTAAAAAATGTGTGGATTAGCCAATGCATCCGAATAAGAATTTTGCAAAAATTTGTGCGGATTATCAACAACGGTGAGTAATTTGATCTAGTCAAGTACCAAACTTAACGATAATATGTAGAGAAAAAAGCGAGCAATAATGCAAGCATGCGTGATTCTCTTTTTCACGTCAATGATCGTTGGCGGCCACCGATCGTCTCTCTCGTGGATGATGAAGGGTGCGAGGTGAAATCGGTTCAATGCTCCGTCCCCTCTCGCATGCCGAGGAAGGACTGGACGGTGCTCGCTCTCCTTATCTCGTCAATGATCGGGGAAGGAACTAGGGCACCAATATGCCGTAGTCGCCGCAAAGGAATTCAAGGGCCGTGACGACTACGGCCGAGAGGAAAAGGCGCGCCATGACGACAAAGGCTTCGAGGAGGCCTTGACCACGCTTATTCTTTGGTCTTTGGTTTGTAGGAATCGGGGGCCTCCACCACGTTCTTCGCAAGGAGACAACAGCATGGGGGAAGAAGAGAGGCCACGGGAGAGAAGGAGAGCATGACAGAGCTACGGCAGCGACCTCTACGTGATATGTAAAATTAGATTAGATCCTTTTTCCAATATAACTGGTCAACATTAATTAATATAGGGTGCTTTCGCTATTACTAACACAAACATAGACGTAGCATAGTGGTAGGAACTTACTTTCAAGACCAAGAGGTCTCAGGTTTGAAACCCATATTGTTGTCATTTTTTTAAAAAAATCATGCAACCATTAAAGTGGAAAGGCTTAGGTATTGCAACAATGTAATTTTTCGTTGCTATATTATAACCTTTTTGCAATGAACGAAACTGCTACATACAACGAAACCATAATCGTTGCAACCTTAGTGATTGCAACGAGCTATTTTTTTCGTTGTTATACGTACCAATTTTTTGCAACGCAAGCCACTATTATATACAACGGAACATATTCGTGGCGATATAGATGGGCTATTGCAACCATAAAATAAAGAGTTGCAATATCACCTTAGTATTGCAATGAAAATAAACTTGCCCGCAACGCAAATCAAATCGTGGCAACATTAATCACTTATTGCAACCGTTCAATAATTTGTTGCGATAACACTTACTTTTTACAACGATCTCCACACTTATGGCCACAAAACAATCTTCATGGCAAAAAACCAATCTATCGCAACCAAAAGTGAAAATCGTTGTGATAACAACGCTTGTTGCAACGAAACCATGCCATTGCGACAAAAAGTGTGGTATAAGGGTCAGAAGTTAGTAGTGAGTATAAGTTATCACTATATTCCTTTGCCAGTCCTTCCCTATGGTAAAAAATATAAATAACGATACCTAGAATACTCCTGGATGAAATGCTACAGTGGTATATTATTTGTGTGCTTATAGATCCCTTCATATACATATTTGTAATATTTCTAGTCATAATAAAATACTTAAGTACTTCTTAGCGTCCTTCGAAAAAGTGACACTAGAAAGTACCAACAATCATTTCTGGCATCATAGTTAGGGATGACAACTTAGCAAAAGTGATGTTAAGAAATGTCAATAAATATTAGGTGGCTACTTAAACAAGTGACAAGTTAATAAATACAAACAGGAACCACCTGTAACACCCTAAAATTTGCTACTTTTGAAATAGATGTAAATTGTGTTAATTTTGGAATTTAGTGCTCATGAAAACATAAGAAAATAAAAAAATTCATTAAATTAAAATTTATCATAAGGCTTAGCAACATTTTTGTGCATTCATGCTGATGCATATTTTTTTGTCATGCTTGGGTTGATCAAAATTTTAAAAGAATTTGAATTTGATTGGAATTTGTATTTGAAAATAAAATTAAAAAAAGAAAAGAAATTCTTCCTCTCCCCCACACTCTCTATCGGCCTGGCACTAAAATTAGCAAGGCCGCTATAGCAGAACCGACCAATTTATAAGGGCATAAGTACAATAGCAGCACATAAGATGTCGCACTATCATACTTGAGACCATATAAACCCGATAGTCCATCGAGTACCACGAAGGGTCTCGATTAACCTTCAACATACAACCAAGATTGTACATGATTCAACATACATGTTACACATGTAAGGAAAATGGACCCTTGGCCCATTTACTTTGTATTTTGGTGTTTGATGACCAACACAACCGAATTGGACTAATGAATTTGCAAGTGCTTGTTGTGTAGTCCAATAGGGTGCAAGACGTGACTTGGATGAAGGCGACGTGATGATCTGATGATCAACACCTCAAGCAAGACCTTAGAAGCACAAGAAAAGACCCAAGATATCAAGCAAAGTCCAAGCATGAAGATAGAAACCAAGCCGTACGCAAGATCGCGAAGAAACGAGCTCGCAGAGGCGACCGGACGCTGGACCGGTGGCTCGGCAGACAGGCGACCGAACGCAAGGACCGGACGCTGGCGGCAACCGACTAGACGCAGACACGCAGCGTCCGATCGAGTACAGAGAGGTTCCAGGCACGCGAAACTGCGACCAGACGCGTCCGGTGGCAGGCGACCGGACGCTGGCAGCGTCCGATCGGTAGTTCGCGGCTGCAACGGTCGGGACGACCGGACGCGTCCGATCAGGACGATTCAGCGTCCGGTCAGTAGCAGTTTTGTGGGTGTTCGACCCCAACGGCTACTTTCTCAGTGGGGCTTATAAATACAACCCCCAACCGGCCATTTGAGAAGTGTGGAGCTGAGGAAACATATCTAGGGTGTTGATACACCATTTTAGTGATCTCCACTTGCTAAGTGCTTACTGTTTCATCAGGTGATTAGCATAAGTGCTTTGCGAAGTGTTTAGGTTGATTAGACCATCGCTTATGCGCTTGCTCTAGGTGTTTGCCTAGTGTTTAGTGAGGTTTGCATACCTCTTGCCACCTCGTGCTTGCGAGCACAAGAGTTGTACATCGGAGGGGCTTGAAGTCTTGCGAGATCGCACCAACCGCGTTTGTGGTGCGGCCGCCACCGTGTACCGAAGGGAACAAGGCCGCGGCGTTTCGGTCGAAAGCTTGATAGTGAAGACGGCGGGGAGCATCCGGGAGAGGCTTGCCGGAAGGCACATCGGAGACCCACTTACGCGTGGGGAAGGCCCGAGGCTATCCACGGAGTTACCCGACCGGGAGCTTGGCCCTTGAGAGGGATTCCTTGCGAGGGGCTCCAACGAGGACTAGGGGGAAGCTTGCGCGCTTCTCGATACCTCGGTAAAAATACCGGAGTCGTTGACAGGAGTTTGCATATCTCTACCTTGCTCTTTAAGCTTCCGCATTTACATTGATCGTATTATTATCATTTGCGGTAGAGATAGCAACACACTAGCAAAACCGTAGTTGCACATCTAGATAGATTATCTTTTGCATAGGTTTTGGTAGAGTTAGAAAAAGAGGCCATAGTTTGGAGTTAGAATTTTAAGTTGCCTAATTCACCCCCCCCCTCTTAGGCGTCCACGTGTCCTACAAGTGGTATCAGAGCCGGTTGTCTCATATTTGGACCTTTGGCTTAACCGCTGTTGAGCCGACGCTATTGTAGAGTGGTTGGAATGGATACCGCTAGGCCTCCTCAATTTGACGGCACTAACTTTCCATACTATAAAGCTAGAATGGCTTGCCACCTTGAGGCGGTTGATTTGGGTGTATGGAGAGTCACTCGTGACGGGATGAAACCCATCAAGAATCCCGAAAAACCCACAAAGAGTGAGGAAAAAGAAATGCATTTTAATGCTAGAGCTAAGAATTGCTTGTTTGAATCATTTAGCATGGATGTGTTTAACCAAGTGTTCACCTTAAATACCGCACATGAAATTTGGTTAAAACTTCAAGAGCTCCATGACGGTACAAGTAATGTCCGTGAGCAAAAACATTGTCTAGCTAAGCAAAATTATGATTCCTTTGCTATGAATGATGATGAGCTTGTTCGTGATATGTATTCTCGATTGAATCTAATTATCAATGAGCTCCATTCAATAGGATTATTAAAGCTAGATGATGCGGACATCGTGAGGAAGATCATCTCCGTTCTACCACAAAAGAAATATGCAAGCATCATCACCATCCTTCACAACATGGAGAACTTGAGCACCATGACACCGGGCATTGTCATTGGCAAGCTAGTGGCATTTGAAATGTCACGTAAGATGGGTCAAGAAGAAGCTTCTTCATCAAGCAAAGGCAAAGCTCTCGCATGTAGCGAGAAGAAGAAGATGAAGAGCAAGAAAGTTGAGTCAAGCTCAAGCTCAAGCTCCTCAAGTGAAGAAGAAGATGATGAGGATGATGATGATGAAGAAGAAGAATCAAGTGATGATGATCAATCTTCCTCCTCCACCTCCGACCTTGATGAAGAATCAATCAAACTTATCAATAAGGTGGAGAAGATGATCCAAAGGCTCAATGTCAAGGGTGTGCCCATCCAAATTCAAGACCTTGTTTTCACCAATCAAAGAAACGAGCAAAGAAAGAGAGGATGCTATGGATGCGGCGAGATGGGGCACTTTGTGGAAGTTTGTCCAAACAAACCCACACCCAAGACAAAGAAGAAGGCATGCAAGAACAAAGCCCTCACAACAATAAGATCATGGGATGACTCTTCAAGTGAAGAAGACCATCACAAGAGGCGTGGGCGCAAGCACTCATCATCAAGCTCTTCCCGTAAGTGCCTTATGGCACGAGGTAACGAAAGCTCATCCTCCAGTGAGAGTGATAGTGATGATGATTTGCCTTCTTACAATACAATTGTGCAACAAAATCTTAAATATGCTAAAGTTTGCACTAGTCAACAAAAGAAGTTCAAAACTTTAAAAGAAGAGCTAGGTAGTTCACAAGAAGCATACAAGAATTTGCTTGAACAATATGAAAACTTTGCAAATCTCAATGTTGAACTATCTACTAAAATTGAGCAACTTGAGGCTAGTGCAACAACAAGTGCATGCACAATTAATGATAAGCAACTTGAAAAGAAAAATTAAAAATTAAAAGAAGAGTTAGCTATCTCACAAAATGATTATCAAAGTTTGCTTGCTAAAATGGAAATCATGTGCAAACATTGTGATGAGCTAACTAATAAGGTTGCTAATCTTGAGGCCGTCAATTTAACCTCCACCAAGGCATCTAAAAGAAATGACATAATTAAAAAGGATGCCTCTACTTCTTGCAATGATTTATATTTAGACTCACCCTTGTGCAACCAAGCTTGTGTTGAGAAAGTGATTGTAGATACATGCACACAAGAGGTTGTAAAGGAGAATGAGCAACTCAAGCAAGAAGTAGTTCGCCTCACCAAGGACTTGACTCAAGTGAAAGGCAAGGCGAAGAAAACCCAACTTCATCAAGATAACACCGTTAAGGGAGTGAAGAAGCTTGATGAAGGACAAACCGTGGTTTGCTACGTGTGCCACAAGGAAGGCCACAAGTCCTATGAGTGCAAGGTGAAGAATGGAGGAGGAGAAAAGAAGAAAAAGAAAAAGCAAACAAGCAAGCTCTCCAACACCTACACCAACAAGGTGGACAAGAAGGCCTCCACACCTTATCTCTTAAAGAAGAAGAAAAATGACAAGGTGGTGGCCATCAA